CATGGCTGACCGTGGTTCAAGTCCTGGACCTGGAGGCTTGCTTTCTCACTCACTCTCTGTCTCTTTCTCTGGTCAAATTGAATAATAATAATAAATAAATAAATAAATAAATAATTATTGTTAAATAAATAAGAAACCCCAGGTGTTAGGATAACCTAAACAACTTAAAATCCCTACCTACTTCCAGATGTGGAGTGACACTAGGTCTGGGAGGAACCACTGTGGGAACTTAGACTTCATTTTTGGTTTCTTTCTTCTTATTTCCATTGTTCTCATCTTTCCATAAAGACAAGGTATTGCTTTTGCAGCATGAAAACTACGTCCACTGATTTTTAAAGGAACTCGACAGGAGAGTCAAATCATTCCGATTTCCGCTCTCAGTAAACCCTATCGGTCCTTCCCCAACTAAGTTTGCTCTTGGCACGAAGTAAATAAAAGGTGACCTCACGTTATTCCTGATGCTGTCATTCATTTCGAAGTCACCAATCACCCACCGGAAGGGTGCCATTGACTCGGCGTCTTACAAATCACTTCTTTTCTCCAAGTACCAACACCAGTTACAAGATCACAGGTCAAGTACTGGATGCTTCTCGCTCGCTATAAAACTTTAAAAGGAAGGAAACGACCATGCTTTGGTTTCAACACGATGCGACACAGGCAGAGCCGGAGTGTTGCAGCAGGTGTAGCCGCGACCTCCCCACAAAGCCTGCATCGGCAACCTGGACAAGTGATTGGGGGAAACACTGTTTTATTCTCTGTACCATTTTGTGTTCCCAGGGTCAAACAGGAAGTCAGATTCTTGGTAATTCTTTGTCTCAGTATCTTGTTTTCACAAAGCAGAAAGTAGCATTTTTCTAGAAGCAAGGATATCTTAAATCTTAGGATGGAGACAGCAGGAGTCTGAAACACACCCACACATCCGAACCCCTTTATCACCAGACAAATCCATGGAACCACATTTCGGGATGTCCAAGAAACAATCCCTTATAAACGGCATCCTAATTCAGACAGTAAAACATGAATCAAAAGTATCTTAGGATAAAACACAGTATTAATATATCACTGGGACCAGTAGTTAGCGTAATGGCTATGTCCCTGAATTCCCATGTAGTCGACCGTGGTTCGCGTCCCGGACCCAGTGGCTTAAACTCATGTCAGGTGCATGTGCATGCGTGCCCAAGATCCCAAGAGGAGAATGGAGGAGAAGGGATTGCAGCATGGCCCTCCCCTCTAGGGGGTGATTTTTCGTTTCTGTCTCTCTGTCTCTCTGGTGAGTGCATATGCCCTGTAGCAAAAACCTCTCAAAAAAAAGTATTAATATATCACTGAAGGTCATTCTTGGCAGTTTGAATTTTAAGAATTTCCCTCATTTAAAAAATTTTAGTTTAACAGGCTCATACTACTGTTGACAATTTGAACCAGTAGAACTGAGGAAGAGGGGCTGGCAGGTGGCGTGGCGGTTAAGGGCGCTGGACTCCCACATGGCCAACCACGGTTTGAGTAGTGGCCCTGGTGGCTTGCTTTTTTACTTTCTGTCTCTGTCCCTCTCTGGTCAAATTAAAATAAATAAATAAATAAATAAAGTTAAATAAAATAATTCTTAGGAAAAAAGAGCTTTAGGGAAGATAACTTCAGAATATTCCATAAACCCCTTAAATTTGTATACCCTTTAACCCAACAATTTCACTTTAATGAACTCTTCCTCAAGAAAATAATTTGAGGGGACCAGCAGTTGGCATAATGGCTATCTCACTGGACTCCCATGTAGTCAACTGTGGTTCGAGTCTCAGACCTGGTGGCTTAAACTCACGCTGGGCGCGTGTGCGTGCGTGCCCAAAATCCTGAGAGGAGAATGGAGGAGAAGGTATTGCAGCGTGGCCATCCCCCCTAGGGGGTGATTTCTCACTTTCTGTCTCTCGGTCTCTCTCTGTCTTTCTGGAGAGCACACACACCCTTTGGCAAAAACCTCTCCAACGAGAGTTAAAGTAATTATGAAATAGCTGGAGAATTTAGAAACAACAACAAAAGGAGAGAGAATTACTAAAATAATAGAATGGAACAATAAAATATGAAATTGGTCAGGAAAGGAAGTGTAGAGTCCTCAGGGGGCCACTCATGATCAGTGTCGTGTTTATGAAGTCGCAAGTCAGTGCTGGCTACCAGTGTAACCCAAATCCCTGGGGACTGTATTGTGAGAGGGAGGACACACGTTAGGAAGAGGTGGTCCAAGAGAACTAAAGCCTATTCTTTCAGAATAGGAAGACAAGGGACCAGCAGTTAACGTAATGGCTATGTCGCTGGACACCCATGTGGTCCACCATGGTTCACGTCCCAGACCCCGGTGGCTTAAAACTCACACCAGGCGCGTGTGCGTGCATGCCCAAGATCCCGAGAGGAGAATGGAGGAGAAGTGATTGCGATGTGGCCATCACCCTGGGGGGGGGGGTGATTTCTCGCTTTCTGTCTCTCTGTCTCTGTCTTTCTGGCAAGTGCACATGCCCTATAGCAAAAACCTTTCCAAAAAAGAAGATCCCAAGAAACAACAGTACAAAATGTTATTTAGAAGGGCCAGCAGGTGGCGTGGTGGTTAAGGGTGCTGGATTCTCACATGGCCAACCTCAATTCCTATCCTGGACCTAGCAGCTTTCTCATCTTCTCTCGTTCTCTTGTTCTGTTCCTCTCTGGTCAAATTAAAATAAATAAATAAATAAAGCTAAATAAAATCATTTTGAAAATGTTATTTAGAACACTAAAGATAAAGAGAGTGGGAGAAACATGTCAGCCTGTAAAACTAACACTTTAAAAAACCTGTATATATAAAAATAAAAACTCAACGAAAGTAGCAGTCAGGGTGATTTTGCTTGCACGTCTTTCTAACTTTTTCAAAATGAAACACTGAACTCTAAAAGGATACAACCGAACACGTCCACAGTGGCTATACCTCATTGTCACTCGATAACTAGGATTGTGGCCACTTCCTTTCTTCCTTCTTAGTTATATTTTATGAAAAAACGTAGAACACAGAGCATATCAGAAATGAGGAGGGGAAAAAGAGGTGTTTTACTTGATGCCAGTCCAAACCCGGCCCAGAGACAAAACCCACCTCTGTCACTCTAGCCTCTATTTGCCGTGCCGGAGCGAGAGGGCCTGCCAGCTCCCTGGTTCACATGGCAAATATTTGCTGAGCGCCTACAAAGCAGGCACAGGCAGGGGAGCCCAACGCCTCCAGCTCTGTACTGGGCTTCCTGATAGCCTCAGCAGCACTGAGAACTAGCAGGAAGCCGGGCTAGGGCACCCCTCGTCAAACCCGACGTGCACCAGAACCCTGGGTATCGGCTCAGTAGGTCCAAGGTGGGGCTTGAGGCTGTGGAGGGCAAGCTGACAGATGGGCACAGATGTTGCCAATGGCTTCTCGGAAGCCCTGTCCCAGGCCCTTCTGCACCATGCTGGTCCCAATCTCTACACAGGCTAGGCTCGGTCCACCAGAGTTGAAACAGGAGTCTAGGAGACACAGCAGAAGCAGCACTGAGCAGACAGTGGGAAGGGATGCCTCTGAGCAGCTAAGATCAGTGCCCGGGGACCAGCAGATGGCATAATGGTTACGTCACTGGACTCCCATGTAGTCATTTGCAGTTCGAGTCCCAGACCCCGTGGCTTAAAACTCACACCTGGCACGTGTGCGTGAGTGCCTAAAATCCAGAGAGGAGAATGGAGGAGAAGGGATTGCAGCATGGCCTTCCCAGGGTGGGGAGAGTATGTGATTTCTCACTTTCTGTCTGTCTCTCCGGTGAACACACGTGCCCTATAGCAAAAATTTCTCTAATAATTTATTTAAAAAAATCTGTGCCCTGGGGAACCAGCAGTTAGCATAATGTCTGTGTCGCTGGACTCCCATGTAGTAGACCACGGTTTGCGTCCCGGACTCGGTGGCTTAAAACTCACGTCGGGCGCATGTGCGTGCATGCCCAAGATCCCCAAGAGGAGAATGGAGGAGAAGGGATTACGGCATGACCATCCCCTCTGGGGGGTGATTTCTCGCTTTCTGTCTCTGTGTCTCTCTTTGTCTGTCTGGCGAGCGCACGCGCCCTATAGTGAAAACCTCTCAAAAACAAAAAAAAAGTCAGTGCCCTGGAGAAAGGCAGGGCTGGATTTGAACCCGAGCTCCACCGTCTCCAGGTGTGATTGACTTCCTACTTCCTAGGCCTCAGTTTGTTCACATGTAAAATGGGAGTAAAAACCGAAGCACACCTACACCGTGTAAGACTCTCCTGTGGATACCATGAAGGGGTCTCCTGGGCTTGACAAGACCCTGGCACCAGACAAAGCCACAAAATAAGCAGAGACCACCCCCAGCAGTTAACAGAGCTGCAGAGCCTTGTCAGCCAGGACGGGCTGGCTGGGGCTTCTGGGAAGATCACCTGAGTTCTGGCCTCTCGGCCCTGCCTCCTTCCCAGGAATGTTCCCAGCCTGAACCAGGATGTGCAGGGCCAGGGAGGAGGAGCCCTCTGGTCCTGTCAGGAGTTGAGGCCCTCCGATTTTACTCAGCCAATTCGTCCTCATGCACCTCAATTCTACCACCAGGGAGAGGATTGGGAAAAGGAAGAAGCCCTTTTCTTCCCCCCTGATCTTGGGAAAGTTTTGCTTCCCGGGCAGAGGTCGCCCACGTGGAGATCAGGTGAGGGAAGCACCAGGTGACCCTGACGCTTAGCACGACTCATTGCCCAGTAGGAGTCCTGCTCCCAGGACACGCCAGGGCCAGGGCCACTGAGAGCGCCCAGCGACTCGGATCTCCCCCAGCAGACGTCCCGAGGGTCACGACTCTGTCTCCGAGAGCGCCCGAAGTGACTGGACCTCCTTCGGAGTTCTGCACTTTGCGGGGGAAGCAGGCTGAGCTAAAAGGGCCCCCCAGCCCCCCACCCCGGTCCGTGCAGGCCGGGTCCCCGGAGCACCCTGGTGCACGCGCGCGGGTCCACGTGCGCCCCCGCCCCGCGGGCACTCACGATCTCGGCCACGATGAGCAGCCCGGGCAGGGTGCGGAGGAACTCGCGGTCGTAGGCGAAGCTGCTGCTGCTGGTGGAGAAGTTCTCGGCGAAGGAGCTGGCGGTGGTGGTGACGGTGTGGGAGCGGGCGCGCTGCGGCTCCTCCATCGTCGCGCCCCGGCCGGATTGGCCTG